TCTTGGCCATGGGTATGGCTATGGCACCAAAAGTAAATTTAAACACATGGGACTGTATCAAACGAAAAAGCTCCTGAGTGAGAAAAAAAACTATCAACAAAAGGAAAGGCAACCTTTGGAAAGGGGGAAAATATTTGCAAAACCACATGTCCAATAAGGGGTTTGTATCTAAAATATACAAGAAATTCATACAACTCAGTATTGAAAGAAAGAAAGAAAGAAAGAAAGAAAGAAAGAAAGAAAGAAAGAAAGAAAGAAAGAAAGAAAGAAAGAAAGAAAGAATCCAATTAAAAAATGTGCAAAGGAACTGAATGAACGTTTTTTCTGAAGAAGATATTCAAATGGCCAATAGGTACATGAAAAGAGGCTAGTTATCACATACAAATGTGACATCACCAGTCACCAGGGAAATGCTGACTGGGAAGATCCCTCTTCCTCTGCCTCTGCAGACAGGTCCTAAGGGTCTCCTATCCTGTTTTTCATCACACGTTAATTATACAAATTAATTATACAACTTTAATTTTTTTAAACATCCCAGCCCTGTGAAAATAAGTGAAGCTCGGTCATGTGCCAACGGATCGCTTCCCCTCTTGGGCAGTAGATGTCAACCACACTCACATGAGAGAGGCTGCAGGAAAATACCTTGAGGTGATTGAGGGCGGAGACATATATTCTCTTACTTGCATACCTGCCAGGTCTGCTGGTACAGGGAACAGTATTGAATAAACAGTGAACAAGTAAACTATCTGGAGGGGAGCAGCAGCTTCATGCACAGGAGAATCACAGGTCCTCAGAAGATATAGCTGATCATCGGAGTTGGGACTCTGGAGGGTTTCCAGGCACTTGCCCTAATCCCTTGGCTTAGAAAGGCACGCTGCTCTTTTCTTCTGTGGAAATTTCTTTCCCAGCTCTTCTCTTCGGTATAGTTAATGTATAGATGTCTTAAACTCAAGCACTTGCGTGATTCTATCATGACTCTCCAAAGAATTTCAGAGGACACATCTGTATAAATGCAGGCGTGAATGTAGGTGTACATTCAAAGAAACTCTTACTGAAACTAGTATAGCATCACGCTGAAAATGAACAAATTGCCAGGGTATGGGTTGCAGAAGGCAATTCCACGGGTCTGAGTCCAGACAGACGATTCTTCAGCAGCTGAACACAAAGTACAACACAGGACACTGTCCACAATGCTGCCCTTCTACATAGGGGCTCACAACAGGGGCTCACTACATTTCAATAAAAAAATGTAACAGCATGAAAGGACGGTTAAAGAAAACTTTTACTGTGTCTGTCACGCCAACAAAACTATTTTCTTTTTATTTATTTATTTTATCTTTAGAGAGAGGGGTAGGGAAGGAGAAAGGGAGGGAAACATTGATGTGAGAGAGAAACATCGATTGGTAGCCTCTCGTTCATGCCCCGACTGGGGACTGAACCCAGTCCTATGCATGGGCCCTGACCAGGAACAGAACCAGAAGCCATTAGCTGTGCGGGCTGATCCCCAACAACTGAGCCACAGCAGAGCGACAATCAAACTATTTTCATATTTCATGTTACTTTAAATCTTTACTCATATTAATACATATTTCACACTAGAAAATGCACTGTACATTTAATTACATATTAAATTATATTTAATGTATGCATTATATTAATTACATAGTTTATTTTCACATATCAGGTTATATTAGCCCATTTGTATATATAATCCACACATGTATAATTTTAAGGAATTTATAATATTCTATATATTCATATATTCTTATTTTCTAATGTTGAACAATTATAGGAATGATTGTTACTTACTTTATTCTGCTTTTACTTTCAATTCTATTGCATTGTTTCCATGAATTAGACCTCTCGGCCCAGAGGTATGTTTGAGCGAAATGGGAAACTGTCTCTCTTCCACTTAGAGGAAGTGGAAGTGTCATTATTTTGATTAGAACCAGGAACTGCCTCACTAATGCACTCAGACCATTCCCAAGTTCATGTCACATCTACAGTTCAGAGCAGCCACCTCCAAGCTTTCCTCGATCCAATAAGAAGAGAGGGGAGAGGCAATGGGCAAAGATGCTGGCATCCGGGCTGCGTGTGCCTGCCGGGGCAGGCGGGAACCATTTCCCGCACCCTTTCCAAGGAACAGTGGCAGGAACCAAGGAGCCAGCCTGGTGAGTCATTTCCTCGTCTGTTTGCTGTTCCTTCCTCCCCAGGGAGGCAGGTGTTAATATCCACTTTACAGAACTGATAGACTGAGGTTCAGTGGGCAGTTATTTGCTCTTTCCCTCTGTAGAACTCCCCTTCCACCTCTGGGTTCTTGTTACCCTAGTTGAGTTGCATTTACTCAGTAATTATTCACTAAGCACTTACTATACCAGACACTACTATTTAGTGGGGATGCAATAGGGAACCTAACCGACAGATCCAACTGTCTCATGGATCTTTAGTTTAAATAAGCATTATAACAAAATGCATAAACTAAAAAAAAAAAAAAAAAAAAAAAAAAAAAAACCCAAAAACAGCTACTATGATGGAAATTAAAGGTGCTATGATAGAGAATACCAGGAGCTGTCTACCTTTGGCCTTACTGAGGAAGTTACACTTCAGGTAAATACTGAGGGAAGCCCTGGCTGGTGTGGCTCAATGGATTTGAGTGCCAGCCTGTGAACCAAAGGTCGCCAGCTCAATTCCCAAGCGGGGCACATGCGTGGATTGTGGGCCAGGTCCCCAGTTGGGGGTGCATGAAAGGCAACCACACATTGGTGTTTCCCTCTCTTTCCCCCTCTCTTTCTCTAAAATAAATAAATAAAATCTTAAAAAGAAATACTGCTGGGAGCCAGCGACACAAAGAGCTGAGAGGGTTCTTACTGCTGCTTTCCGACCAGTTTTGCTTCCCTGCTCTCTCTACTGTACCGTGTTAGGATAAAAGACGATGCCTGGCTGCAAGCCAGGAAGAGCACTCTCAGCAGACACCAGACCGCCGGTGCCTTGATCTCGGAATTCCCAGCCTCCAGATTGTGAGGAAAAAATATATATATATTTTAAATTTAAACTCCCCAGTCTATGGCATTCCATTTTAACAGCCTGAACTAAGACATAGGTGTTTCTTTTTTTTAATGTTTTAAATATATTTTATTATTTATGCTACAACAGTTGTCCCATTGCCTCCCCTTTATTCCCCTCCATCATGCACACCCCCTCCCACCCACATTCCCCCCCTTTATTTAGTTCATGTCCACGTGTCATAAGTTCTTTGGCTTCTACATTTCCCAGACTATTCTTGCCCTTCCCCTGTCTATTTTCTACCTACTATCTATGCTGCTTATTCTCTGTACCTTTTCCCCCTCTCTCCTCCTCCCACTCCCCTGTTGCTATCCCTCCATGTGACCTCCATTTCTGTGGTTCTGTTCCTGTTCTAGTTGTTAGGCATTCCTTTTGTACTTCCTCAGATCCCCTCAGCCTTAGTAGCCTGTCTCCTGAATCTGCTGATAGCGTTACTTGCCTTAACCACCCAGTGGGTTGAAACTGTTCCGCCCCTGAGACTGATCAATTAACCACACACCCAGGGTCTCTGGCTTCTCCTGTCCCTTTGACAGTGGGAGATGGGACATAGGAGGAAGCAAGCAGATGAATTACCCCTCTCCTGACATTGGCCTATTCCCACCTTCCCAAGAAACTCCACATGGTCAAGTTCTTTCCTGTGGCCAGGGCGGCAGCATCGCTTCCCATGGCACACTGCTTTATAGCTTAGCATTAAAACTTGCTGCAGGGAAGAATTAGAGTGCAGACAAAATTTAAGAATCTGTTGAGTGAGCATGCACAACTATTTAGAGAAGTTTTGGTATAAAGTAACAAGGACATAGGAAAACATCTTCAGGAGCAATGACAAGAGAAAAGCTAACAAGTGGTGGTCTCAGAGGATAGGAAAATCCATTTATGAGGGGAAAGTGGTAGAATTATGGGTGTTTGAATAGTCATATGAGGTTTATCACCATGTTTTCCTTGTCAGCCGGGTTTTCTGATTTTTCTTGAGCAAAACTCTGCTGCTGGGGTGTAAGCACAAAGAGTGGAGTGGGGGTAAATTCGGTTAAGTTAGGGAGAAAGGAGAGAGGCAGGACATCTGGGCTGGACAAAAGGGAAAGTCAAGTCAGGAGACAACTGACAGATATTGAGAAAAAACGACATCAGTAAGTTAGAGGTCTCAATCAGGTCAAACAATTGTAATGAAGAAAGTTTCTGCTCTGGCTGGTGTGGCTCAGTGGATTGAGTTACAGCCTGCGAACAGAAAGATTGCTGGTTTGATTCCCAGTCATAGCATATTCCTAGGTTGCGGGCCAGGTCCCAGGTTAAGGGCACGTGAGAAGCAACCAATCAGCGTTTGTCATGCACATCGATGTTTTCCTCCCTCTCTTCTCCTCTCTCTAAAAATTAAGTAGCAGTAAATAAAATCTCTAATAACAAAAAAAGGAAAGAAGAAGGTTCCAGAACAAGGTCAGCAGACATTTTCCATAGAGTAGTAGACTGTAAATATTTAGGCCTTGTAATCCACTTATAGTCTCTGTCACATATTCTTGTTTATAATTTTACTAGTCTTTAAAAGTGTAAAAACTATTCTTAGCTCACAGGCTGCACGAAAAGTGTTCTAACCACCTGTGGCCCATGGGCTGTAGTTTGCCAACTCCTGCTCTGGAGTTCGTAAGCTAAAGACAAAAAGGTGGGAGTGGAAAATGTTTGTTTAAACTGATGTTAGAGGTGGCGAAGTTTTGAGCGTGACTGCAGAAATGCCAGCTGAAGTGCAGTAGACAGAGAGATCTGAGGTTAGGAGCCTAGTAACCAAAAGGCCTGTCAGTGGGGTTATCCACGTGGACAGGGAAACACTGAGACTGATGAGAGGAGTAAGGGGAGGTTGCCAAATTTAATTTTCTTAAAAAGTGTGATGTTTAAAAGTCAAATTCAACTGGCCATCCTGTAATTTTGTTTGTTCAATCTGACAACACTAGGTGGCGAGCAATACTGAGATGGAAGCTGGAATTTTCTGTGAGTAAGGGGTGACAGCAGCATGTACGGCTGTATAGTGTATGGCATGGGCTTCACAGGACTGTGGTGGGGGTGGGAGGCAGAAGGAAGAAGAAGAACGGGTTCAGAAGAGGGACTGGGAAGAGAGGAGGGTTCTTAGCCCATACCCTGGCCCCGAAGCAGATGGGGCAAAACGGTCACTGGCCTCTGCCAGGTCCCCTTGCAGAAACGAAGGGGGAAGAAGCTTGGAATCCGGAGAGATTTGGGGGAATTGACAGGAAGTTGAACATACATGAGCATGTATTTTGATCACAATGGCAGAATTTCAAAGGCAACAGTGAGACCATTTAAGAGGGAGAGTTGTGTGAAATAAGCTGAAAGCGAGAGATTTGGGGCTCCAGGCTGCTGGAGAGGCCTGAGGTGAGGGGGGAAAGCAGCCTGGGGCTGGGTCCATTCCCCTCGCAGAGGAAGGGCTGGCTAGAGCATTATTGGCCTGTACAGAGCTCGGTAAATTGGTGTGTCTATTGGCGTGAAAAGTTAACAGCAAGACAGATGAGATGTGCAATAGAGTATTAGGGGAAGGGCTGGTAAAGGTAATGGGGAGAAAGCCAGAGTCATGGGAGGGAGGCTCCAGAGGGCAGTACAGGTCCTGCACCTGTGAAAGGAGACTAGAAAAGCAAACAACAACAACAACAACAACAAAAAGCTAACCCAGCTGGCGTAGCTCAGTGGACTGAGTGCAGGCCTGTGAACCAGAGTTGCTGGGATGTAGGCCAGGTCCTCGGTAGGAGGCACGGGATGCGCAATCACACATTGGTATTTCTCACCCTCTCTTTATCCTTCCCTTCTCCTCTCTCTAAAAATAAATAAAATCTTTTAAAAAATTTTAAATAACATTAAAAATACTTAGAAATAAATTTCACAAAACTAGAACAGTAGTTAATGCGAAGATTATAAAACATGATGTTTGTCCTGGTGTAAGGCAGGCAAATATATGAATGTAGCGACACTGATAACTAAAGAATTGACAGGTTAAAATACCCGCGTGGGAGTCTGAGAGTCCAGCACGGCTCTCAGACCTGCGCGCGGAAGTGCCCCGGAGAGCCGAGCAGCGTCGTGGGTGCCTGGGGTCAGGGGCTGGAGCCCTCAGCCAACTCTGCTCCCCTCCCTCATGACACTGGCAAGGGAAAGAACTTCTCCCTCTTTTTTCAAACAGCTGCACTTAGCACTTCCAATAAGGAAATAGTATTTTAAATGGCCTTTTCTGGCAGCTAGTAATTTTGCCGCTGTTCCCAGCAGAAGCCGCTCCCCCTCTTCCCCACAACCTGGAAACACACCCGACGCCCTGGGCGCTGTGTAGGCCCTCTTTCCTCATTTCCAGTACTTAAGATACACTTCTCAGTTCGCTTGCTATCTTTTCTACACTTGTCCTTTTAAAAAAAAATACCATGACTATCTCAAGTAATGAAACAGGAGTGCAGTCAATTTCCTAATTTTATTCCTAAAAGAATAAAATTCAGTTTCTCTTCAGTGATGCCTGTCAGGTGGGCCCCTCTTCAGAGGGGTAGCTTCTGGCAATCAGAATTATAGCTGTGGGGTGGAACCCCATTAAACTGAAAAAGGAAAGGGAATGAGGAGACTGCTATATGTCAAAACCCATTAAACTTTGCATGAACAGAAAAGGTATTATCTTAAAAGAGTCTTTAACTATTCAAACATAACCTGGATGGAAGTCATTATATATGACATGTTCTGTTTGAACAATGATCATTCATGAATCCTATGTAATAAACCATTTCATGGACATCAGGGGCCTCCATATGCTTTATTTTAGGAATAAATAAAACTCAAGGATTTTATAGTTTTTAACAGTTAAAATAATATATACATAGCCATAGCGTTATTATTGTGCTATGTTCTAAAACTACCAAACAGCCATAGGAATTCCCCAAATATACTGTAACATAAGGGGGATGGGAAAAATCAGCAACAAAGATTCTATCAAACTGCAAATTTTATTTCAAAATAGGGAGTTATGAAGCAGTAGGAAGTGCAGTGGATAGGTGGCTTCAGCTGCTCTAGCCTGCGATTGGCCGGGGGTGCATGGCGGCGCGATCAAGGCACGATTGCCACCCGCATGTCCAGGAGGGGGAGTTCTATGCTCCAACCGCAGCATCCTGTTTCAGGCGCAGTTGTATCAGTCTGTTTCAGGCTTATCCCAGCCCCCAACAATAGGAAATTTTAAAAATATTTCTAGGGTGGTTAAACAGTCCAAAATCTATTTCTTGTTATGAAAATATTCAGCTCCATATATTAAGAGATGGCTTTTTTAGAGAAACATGACTTGCCCAAATTACTCTATTGTCTTACACCCTGAAGTTAATCTGTCTTACACCCTGAAGTTAATCTGTCTTACACCCTGAAGTTAATGTCCTACTTTTTTGTAGGACATTAAACTGCGGCATCCCTGATGCTGCCAAAATAAGTTTCACAGAGACTATTAGTACATGACGGCTTCTTCGTCAGCGGACAGGGACCTGACGTTTCAGGAGTAGGAGGAACCTAAAAGGCAGTGCCCCCTTGGCACTGCATGGCAATACAAACCAAAGTGTACCCAGTTTCTGCTTCCCACAGAATCAGCTCACTTGCTTCCCTGGAAAACTAATATTTTTTTAAAAAAATTACTGTAGTAAAATATAGTAACATAAAACTTACCATTTTAACATTTATTTGTTTGTTTATTTTTAGAGAGAGAGGAAGGGAAGGAAAAAGATGGGAAGAGAAACATTAATCCTCTCATACCCTCTCAGCAGGGACTGAACCCACAATCCAGGCACGTGCCCTAACCAGGAATTGAACCAGCAACTTTTTGCTTTTTGGGATGATGCACAACCACCTGAGTCACACTGATCAGGGCCATTTTAACCACTTTTAAGTGCACAGTTCTGTGGCATTAAGTCCATGTACATTGTAGTATAACCATCCATCTCCAGAACTATTTGCTCTTCCACCAGCTGAAACTCTGTGCACGTGAAACGTTAACCCCCCACCCCCGCCTTCCCCCATCCATGGTTAACCACTTCTACTTTTTGTCTGTCTCTATGATGCTGACCATCCTGCACAAGTGGAATTCCACAGCATCTTTTTTTTAGTAAAGTATACGTTTTAAAATTTATTTAGAGAGAGAGGAAGAGAGGGAGAGAAACATCAATGTGTGTGTGGTTGCCTCTCACATTGCCCCTACTGGGGTACTTGGCCTGCAACCGAGGCATGTGCACTGACCAGGAATCAAACAGGTGACCCTTTGGTTCACAGCCCACGCTCAATCCACTGAGCTACACCAGCCACGGCTGCATCTATCCCTTGTGACTGGCTTATTTCACTGAGTATCGTGTCTTCAAAGACATGCATCTATAATGTATATGTCAAAATTTTCTTCCTTTTAAGGTTGAATAATATTCTATGGTACGTATATACCACGTTTTATTCATTCATTCATCTGTCGGTGGACACCTGGGTTGCTTCCACTGTTGGGTTACTGTACAGAATGCTGCTATGAAGCTGGGTGAGCTGACAGGAAATTCAGTTTTGAATATGCACATGGCTGTAGCAGTGGCAAGGACTCTCTCCTTGCAGTTTTCCTCCTTTGTACTTCAGGAATCATTGTACTGGTTACCAGTGATGACCAGGATGAATATCAAGTTTAAACAGTAGGTGGCAGCAAATATCAATTAACCAAACGTAACAGTGGCCAAAAAGCACAGCTGCTTCCTACTGTTAAATTTTGCCCTTCATCAGCATCAACAGTTTTCTCTAGGCCTCCTACGTTCAGTGAAAGGAACACTTGAAATATTTATTTGGGTTCATTTGAAGCAATCAGTTATAATAAGGAGTACTTTAATTGTGAAATATAGAAGACTAATGATTCGGCGGCAGTATCTGAGTGCTTAAAGTTTGCTCAGAGCTTTCAATAACTTGCCTGAAATGTCTCAGCCAAGCACACAGCCATTATAATCTCCTCTCCATGTCTGGGCACTTTGGAACTAGGGTTTAGTCATCCACGAATGACTTGTCCCTGGTTTTTCTGTGACAGACACTGCTAGTCATTGTACCCAATATCCTTCTCACCTTCTTCCCTAATAATTTAAAAAAAAAACATTTTTGTATTGGGCCCACATGTACCCAACTAAAAACAAAACAAAAGAAAGCACTGCATTTCCTGTCTCCAGGGCAGCCAACGGGGACCACGTGGCACAGTTCCGTCCTCGGGAAGCAAACCGAAGTCGGCTGCGGATCAAAGGATTTGCTTTCCTGGTGCAGGCTCTTCCTCCTTCCCTTGTCGTTTTGTTGTTGTTTTCTTTGTTGTCCTGTTTCATGTGTTGGATTTGTTTGCTTCTTCCCTAAAATGTGGGTGGGAAAGAAAATATGGGGCAGCTTTTTGAAACCATGAGACCGCCAGGAAAATAAAAGCCACACGTTCAATACTGCAAAGTAGAAAAAGAAGCCTGGAGCAGTTGACTCGGGTTAGGTGCTAATATCCCTACGCCACCGCCTCTGTCTCAGGCTCCTTACTCTTCAGTAGAACTTCCAACTTCCTGCTTTGTGAGAAAAATATTGCCCTATTTGGTTAGATTTGCATAGTCAAATTTCAGTCAGATGAAGCAGAACCCAACCCCTAAGTGAGAGGGATGGATACTGCCTGAAATGAGTAGAAGAGTTAAAGGTGTATTTAAAGAGGGAAATACTAGCCCTGGCCATGTGAACCAGGTGGCTGGAGCACTGTCCTGTACAGCAAAATGTTGCGGGTTAGATTTCTGGTCAAGGCACATTCCTAGGTTGTGGGTTTGATTCCCCAGTAGAGGCCTGTATGGGAGACAACTGATCGATGGTTCTCTATCACATCTCTCTCTCTCTCTCAAATCAATGAAAACATACCTTCGGGTGAGGACTTAAAAAATATAAGACAGAAACACTAAGCATGTTTGTTTTTTAATCAAGAAAATGTGCCTAAACATAGTGCA